TGAAAACGGCTTCTGTCAGTTGACTTCCAGGAGAGGACTCCATTGTATAGGCTACTAAACAGTGGCTCAGACGCGCTGGCCCAGACTTCCACCGTACGGGTATACATGCCCTTCTTCAAAAGGTGCCGGAAGTCAATAGAAAGATACTGTAGAGAAGTGGCTTTTTGTTTCTTAATAATGGATCAACATTCCGGAAAAATAGCAAAGTATGAACAATAAATTGAACGTTTAAAAATTTGAATTGAATTGAATTGAATTGTTGCCTTATTTTACGTGGTGATACTCGGGCAATCAGGCCTGCTCTTCCGTCTGACCACGCAAATTTCGCTATGCTCCTTTCACCCTCTATCAGAGAAAGAAGGTATTCCTTGGGCGACGAAACAGGCGATTTCAATTTAGCTCAGAGACTTCATTTACGCTTAAAGATCTTTTACATGTAAATCTAAGCAGTAAATCTACTAACATGGGACAGCCGGCTTTACTTCCCGTCCGAAGGAAGGCGTGCGAAGGATTTTCTCGCCCACAAAAATCCACGCCTTCGATCGGGTTTGAACCCTCGAACGTGGCTACCGGTACGCTAACCGTTCCACCATCGCCACCGCTAAACGGTGTGCATTACTTTCGGAGCGCCCTCGTAGGTCCTACTCCACACCCCGCGCTGCTTCAGCTGCCGCGAGCACATCCCTTGGAGGATTCGTAGGGGAAGTTGAGCGGAGTGAGGGGAAGTAGACCGAGCCCTTAGACGCACCGGGCCTCCCTGACGTGCAAGCAGCTCGGGCGGGCGCGATTTGGCATGCCTGCATTAGCGCATGCGTTAAAATCCATCTACCACTACAGCTACTCGTACTAGAGTGGATTTGGCCCTTACCGTAGAATTTTGTTTACTTCACGTGCAGTAACACAGATGGGGTCGTCACTTACCTGAAACAATAAAAAATACATATAAATATGCATGGTAATATTCACGAATTACATTGGTCGTCATTTATTTTGCTAAATGGCTAACTGCAATTGTTACTTTCGACGTTTGCTACGCTAAAACTGAATTCAAAGACAAACATGCCATCGGGCTCAGTTTTTGTGTAATGGCACATTGTATACAAAATTAATTCGTTTCGTATATACAGACAGCCAACTGCCATTGATGAAACTCTAGTTGCTTGCAGGTCTATTAGCATACGGTGGTTGTCAACAATGTATGATATTGACTTCGCCTAAAGACTTGAAGTAGACGCCGGACCAGTCAAATCAGTCGAACCGTTCAGGGAACTGCGTTGCATGCGAGCGCCATTACGTTTCAGTTGCGCCCTGCGCGTCGGCTGAGAACGCAGTCGATATTAAGTATAGTGCGATATTAAGCTTCTTCACGTTAGGTTGGAGTGTTCAGTTTTCTATGAACAGATTCCTTGCAACACCGCGCAGAATGTACATATCCCAGCGATTCCCATTCCGCGAGTGGCGAGAAAACGTCGAAGAGAATAGTGCTCCCTTGGGAAGAATCGTACTTCGGGTGTCGATTCGCTGATCAGCACAAAGCGCGGACCCCTCGTAGTTGCTGTGCTCCTTGCGGAACATTGCAAAATGGTCGACTAAATGGAACTTCGCGATATGCGCCATTTGCAATTCTCATGGTATGGAGGAAACCACAGGATCACTCCACGGTCTGGTATTTCTGCTGTACCAATCACTAGCAAGGCCAAGAGGTCCATTCAATATCGCAACCTTCATTCAGCTGTCAGGCCTGTTGTGAAGGCCCTTTGTGAAGAAGCACTGGCGTCAACTACATCTGATACCTCGACAAAACGTTTACCTTCTTAACCACTTGTAAATCCTGCACGTTATATCTTCCTCCCTTGCTGGTCAAACTCGGATTGATGAACAATTTTATGAAAACGATGGACAAAAATTCGCCAGAATTCCTATATTTAGAGAACAAATTCCTGAGACTTGGTGAAGCGAAAATAAAGGAGGGTATATTTCTAGATCCACAAATGAACAGGCAAAAAGTTAAATTTCGTCGATCAGTGTTATCAGTTCCCCACCAGAAGACCGAGACGTGTCGAATGACATCTCAAGTGTTTTGAAGGGTGCACGGGAAGCGGTAGAATCGTGAGTGACGGGTCCACTCACAATCAGTTTCTCAAATCCTGTTTAGGGATGTTCAATAGTTACATCTAACAGAAAATATGAGAGTCATTGCTGGAAGTGTAGTATTCCCAATGATTATTCTGGATTTACGAAAGAGTAAAATTAAACATAATGGTATTAGTGCAACTATTTTACCGACACCTCATGACGAATTTGTCGAAGATCAATACTTCATCAGAGATATAATCCGGACATTCAAACGCTTGAATACAAAAGAGGTTACTTGGCTGTTCAATAGGGCAATTTTAGCACACAAAAATTACCAAATAAATAAAATTAATGCGAAAATCCTTCAAAAATTCCTGGATAAATAACAACATGAAAAAGTTGTAATAAGTATTGGTTGCATATTGACAAATGTGTACCAAGACGAGGCAGTCCACCATCCGATAGAACTTTTAAACATTATTAGAGTGAGTGAGCCTCATTTTTATTTACAACTGTAATAGGAAAACCCCTTATATTACTTAGTAGTTGCTGTTCTGCATTATCACTAATAAGCAATATTAATAATAAAAAGCGTATCCCTTATATTTTACGACAATCATTTATTTAAGAAAACTTTTTCAACGTATCATAACTATGTTCGCCACATCATCAGCTTTAATACACAGGTTGTGATCTGAGGAAATCAGAGGCGCCCTTACCTTCTGTGACGCATCTGAGGGTGGCGACCATGGAGAGGGCATAACGCTGACGGATATTACGTCGAACTTCAACAAGAAGTTGCAGATGAAAAAATCTAATCTCTGTTGTCTCAATTGTTGAAATTATTGATATTAAAAACAAAAAGAGTGTCCTCTATATTTTATCATTTTCCCAAATCACAACATGTTTATTACATTTGTTGTGCCGAGAATAGTTAGGATACGTTGTAAATGTTTGTCTTGAATGATTGTCATAAACCATAGAGGATACGCTTTTTATTACTAATATCAATAATATTGACAATCAGGGAGTGGACTTTTCCATCAGTAATTTTTACTAGTGGAGATATCTACAACTACAACTAGTGCAGAAATCTGTATTTTCTACAACTACAACTTCCCGTTATCTTCGTTTCATTGTTACGTGCTGTGATCTGCGCGGTCAGTTGAATGTGTGCATGACGCATGAATATCTGGGAAATATCTCAGCTCCCTCTTGGTGACTGCCAGTAAAGCGTTATCTTCGGCGCCCGCCCCCGGACCTCCGCCCCCGCTCCCGGTACCGATGATGCTCTCTCGCAGCCCCCTCCCCTCCCCCACCAACACCCGACACGCGCGTCATTAGCAGCTCCTCTCGGGGCCCAACTAATTCGAACGACACTTAAAACCTTTTCCGGCCCCGGCGACGGCTCGTGTATCACGGCTATTCTTCAAATTTATAGTCACGTGTCGTAAAAACGGGGGCGCGTTACTCGCTGCGGGTGACGTCATAGGGTCGGCTGTCGTGTTTTTACGAGCTGAGGGTGTGGGGGGGGAGGCAAGCGGACGCTCGCGCAGCGGAGCGTCTTTCTCCGGTGGCCGCGTGCGAACGCTTTCGCCTCAGCGGCGGCTCGGGCTTAGTTGCTCAACCCCCAGATACTGCAAACATTTCATGCGCTAGGAATACACATTCTCGTTTCAATGAAGTTCAATATTCAAGATATTGCCGCAGTATCGATGCACGTGAAATGACTTGGAAAGCACAGAGCGCAAAGCGGCGCTGGTGACTCGCAGCCATTGCCCCGCGCCCAACATCCACGACGGCCGCTGTGGCGCTGTGACGCTGTATCGCTGTGGCGCGTGGAGCGTGGAACGTGGAACGTGGTGCGTGGACTGTGGAGCGTGGAGTGTGGAGTGTGGAGTGTGGAGTGTGGAGCGTGGAGTGTGGAGCGTGGAGTGTGGAGCGTGGAGTGTGGAGTGTGGAGCGTGGAGTGTGGAGCGTGGAGTGTGGAGCGTGGAGCGTGGAGCGTGGAACGTGGAGCGTGGAACGTGGTGCGTGGACTGTGGAGCGTGGAGCGTGGAGTGTGAAGCGTGGAGTGTGGAGCGTGGAGTGTGGAGCGTCGAGCGTGGAGCGTGGCGCATGATGCGAGCGCCAAGTGGACACGCACGGCGACGCACTCTTTCCTCCCGCCGACACCTCCCACCGTCATCAACACATTCTAATGGCAATAGTTGGTTTTATTGGGCATATTCAAGCTTATTTTGATATTTTAAAGTTATTTTACTTGTGAAAAAATACAAGGCATTTATGTAAGAAAATAGTTGTTTACGTAACCAGGTTGCCAAACAGATGATTCCCGCAGGGGTCGCGTATGTCACCAAGAGACGAATGCGGGAATCACCTCGCGCCCGGGTTGCGAATACTATTTTGTACACCCGTGAGCGAAACGCAAACCGTCAAGTAAAGGAATTTACATTTACAGGAATTTACTTTAAGTATCAAATAACTAGATATACCTTACTCCTACAAAAGTAAATAGATTCCAGTCAGTGTTGCAACGCTATTGTATGTAAAAAATAAACAAAGGCGTCGTCAAGAGCAAAGACAATTGCGAATCGGTACAGCTGTTTCGCACACTGAAAAAATTAGTTGTTTCGCACACGGAAAACATCCACCGCAAAGTGCGGTACGAGCACGTGTTAAAAAAGTATTTTAATATGAACGGTGTTCAGGCGAGGTAGTTGTACGCTTATTTCAAGAGTAACCAAAATGTGTGCAAACTCCTCTGAAGCTCCAAAGACGCAAACAAACTGAGATATTCCTCGAACTCATCCTGTTTTTGTAACCCCCAGGATACTGCAAAGTTTCATGAAACTGTGTGTACTCCATATCCTTTTTATGTACTAAGTTCTACATAAAATGATTTAAAGAATTAAAGATAAAAGGACAGATTTCAATTAAAAAATATTCCGGGGGCGGAGTGGCACGGCGGGAGCGAGAGGGGCGGGGAGGGACGGGGCGGGGCGGGCGTGGGCCATCAAGCGTCGATTGAGAAAGGGCAAGGAGATCGAATAGGGTTGAGATCGCGTAACGGGGCTTCCACCACGCCCATCCGCTCCTCGCCCCTATCGCAACGAACGGCCCCCCCATCCTTTCCATCTTTCAGTTCATTCACTCTCCTAACTAATCTTGTCTTTTCAATCTTAACCAAGCCCACATATTATCCCCACCAAACTAGCCGCAATTAACTAAAGCTATGTCCGAAACTGTTCACACAAGCAAACCAAGTAGAAATTAGCATCTCATATATGGACAAACGCGGCTGACGACATTCTTCGCGATGCAAACATTCACTCAAGTTTAAAATACTGGAAGGGTCTTTTAGATTTGAGAATACACCTAATGCAACAGTGTAACCTCTTTAGTACAGCGAAGACTATCCAGATACCTCATACTTTCTATATTGTGGAAGACCAAATCTCTCGCAGACGAAACTCGCTGCGCCACCAAACTATCTTCTTTGCTTACCGGAGAAGAGAAGAAATCCAACTATCCCAAACCTGCTCGCCCAGATTCATCCCGTTTAAACAGCTTTTCGATACGCGTCGAGAATGCAGCCAATTCGACAATTAAGCGTCCGAATCATTCGACATTTTTCACTATATATTACTACTATATACCTATACTATATATCTATTATATACACTATATAAAAACATTCTACATATAATACTATATATAATTTCTTATATATATACTAAAATTCTCTATCACTACCTTTACTATATATACTGTATACCCTAATTTTATATACATATAACTATATATATAATATACTACTATTATATATATATATATACTATATA